AGGGAACACACTGCAGAGGTGTATACACGCTTGTGGTGTGTTTATAAGGTTAGTAAATCAACCCCAGTGTGTTTACAAGAAACTCATTTCTCCTCCACCTCCTGCCCCAAATTATTTGACACAAAATACCCTCAGGTATATTTGTCCACGGCAGACTCAAAACAAAGAGGTGTACTCATAGCATTTCACAAAAAAATTGCTTTTCAGTGTATTAAACAAATATCGGATCCAGATGGGAGGTATCTTCTCATACAGGGTACAATTTCTGACTCATTGGTCACTATTCTCTCCTACTATGCACCCAACACAAAACAAATTTAGTTTCTCTCCCATCTCCTCTCGCTACTCGATACCCATGCTAAAGGGATGATTCTACTCTGTGGCGATTCAAATCTGGTTTTTAATCCGAAATTAGATAAATCGCAAATAAACACATCCCAAAGTAACAAAGACTCCTTGGATTTTAGATCCATCCTAGATCGTTATAACTTGGTGGATGCCTGGAGAGAATTAAATCCCACAACGAGTGATTACACTTTTTATTCCTTTCACATGTTTTACGCTCATCGCTTCCCCTAGTTGTAAAAGCACATATAAAAACGTCTTCATGGTCTGATCATGACCCCACTGTGATTATTCTTCGTTCTCTTCAGCCTCATGCAGGTCCTAAACAATGGACACTCTACGAGTCACTTTTATCCAGCCCAATCCTCTTGGCTGAATTACAGGCATCCACTTCTGAATTTTTTCGTCTTAACCTGGGTTCTGTCATCTCTCCTGTGATTTTGTAGGCGGCCTACAAAAGCGTAATACGGGGCCATTTTATTTGTATATTCTCTAGATGCAATAGAGAGAGGTTACAACGATTAAAACTACTAGAATTGACATTTGATTTAGCCTCTGCCCAATTTAAGAGCTCTCCTACTTCAGCACACCTGGCTTCTCTTACCAAGGCCTATATTGATCTCGACATCTGTTTAAACTTGGATTCTGAAAGAGCAATGCGATGGTCAAATCAAAAATGTTACGCTGAAGCAAATAAACCTGATACGATGCTAGCCAAAAATTAAAAGTCCTAGATCCAAAACCCCTCCCAATTACCTTGAAGACTAGGTCAAATGAGATAACCAGTAACCCAATCAAAATACTTAAAGAGTTTCGATTCCACCTTTTTGAATTATACTCAGAACCTTTAACTCCCCTCCCCAAATATCGTCTTTTCTGACTAACGTCACTCTTCCGCAGTTACCCGACTCTTGTTCCCAATTTTTAGATGACGATATTACCGAAGAGGAAGTTGTTCAGGCTATCCGTAGTCTCAAAACTGGCAAAAGGGCAGGTCCAGGTGGGTTTTCGACACACTTTTACAAAACAATTTCAGAATTAATCATCCCCCATCTTTCTAAAATGTTCAATTTCCTCAAAAAGGGAATGATGTTGATTCAAACATGCTGACCGCCAACGTAGTCATGATTCCTAAGCCCAACAAAGATCCTGAAATTTGGTCGAACCTTCGCCCCATTTCTTTAAAAAATGTTGATGTGAAGCTTCTGACGAAAATATTGGCCACCCAAATTAACAATTTCTTAGGTAAATTAATTCATAGCGAACAAGTGGGTTTTGTGCCCCTAAGGCAAGCTGCGGATAACATACGTAAGATTATCTCACGGTGTCATTTGGCTCATCAAGGAAAAATTTAAATGTTCCTACTCTCCCTAGATATGAATAAGGCCTTTGACTCTTGGCCATACCTTATGTCAACGTTGGAAACATGGGGATTTTGTTCGAGTTTTATGGCTTGGATACGTGCGATTTACGCCTGTCCTACAGCTATCTTGAAATATCAGGGATTCTGTTCTGCCACTTCCTGATAAAGCGTGGTACTAGACAGGGATGCCCACTATCCCCTATCCTATTTATCTTAACCCTTGAACCCCTGGCGATCTCGATTAGATCGGTTCCGGGAATAACAGGCCTAACAATCGCTGACTACTCCCATGCAGATGACATATTGCTAACCTTGACCTGTCCACATTCTTCCCTACCAACCTTAATCGCTTTATTGGATACATTTGCGGAAGTCTCTGGCTTACAAATTAACCCAAATAAATCACAAGCGATGAATGTGTCTCTACAGGAAACTACAAAATCACAGTTACCACTACAATACTCTTTCCCATGGCTTTCGTCCCTTCAATATTTGGGAATTAAACTCACCCCCTTATATTCTACACTTTATCAAGCAAATTACCCGGGATTAATACATCAACTTAAACAACTCTTGTAAAGATTTTCGTGTGTCCTGGATAGGGCGAATTCATGCTATTAAAATGTCCTTTCTTCCTAAGTTACTTTATGTATTCAGAGTCTTATCGATATTAGTGCCTTCCCATATACTTTGCATAATACAGAGGGATACCTCAAATTTTATTTGGAGAGGGACTAAACCACGATTACATAATCGAGTTCTCTTTAGGCCCAGATTACAAGGGGGTTTGGGGATGCCTAATTTCCTTAATTATTATAGAGCAGCGCAAATTGCCTCTCTTGTACTTTTATCATCCAAAACATATTTGCCCTTATGGGCCTCCATTGATGTAGTAGATGTCTTCTCCACCCTTATTTCAAATTTACTGTGACTCCCACCCTCCTACAGATCCCCTTCCCTTGGTCCTGCCATGCGACACTCCTTACGGATATGGGACTCTGTGAAATATATTGGCCCCTAATTTCTCCACATCTTCCCCTTCTGTCGCTTACTCATTGCCCTCTTTTTTACCCTGGGATGGTTCACCCAAAAAGGTTTTCCTGGTGGACTACAGCTGGTTTAGAAAATGTATTCTCCATGCTCACGCCCCAGGGGATTCGTAGCTTTGCTCAGCTCAAAGACTCACTCCAAATACCACAAACTGAATTATTCCACTACCACCAAATTTGTAACTTTATAAATTCATTGAGTTGTTTAACTTCACCACCCTACTCTATTACCTCATTTGAACACAGATGTAGATGTGATCCATACTCACCCGGCCTGATAACCTTGATCCAATCCTCCCTATCCGAAAATCTTACGCAATCCATTATGCTCTACCAAACCAATTGGGAGAATGATTTGGGCTCCTCTATTTCCAAAACTGATTGGTCAGCAATCTGGAGGAATATAAACTCTTGTTTTCGAAATATCCTGATACAGGAAAGCTCCTACAAAGTATTATTTCGCTGGTATTACACACCGTCCCGCATCCACAAATTCTTCCTCTCTCATTCCCCTCGATGTTTTAGAATGTGTGGACATCTAGGCACTATGAAACATATTTGGTGGGACTGTCCTAGGGCTAAACGTTTCTGGACCCAAATTTGTGCTCTAATTAATACTGTATTGAAATGTAATCTGATCAAAAATCCGTGGGAAGCACTTCTACATAAACCCATAACGGGTTTACGCAAAGATCAACAATGCTTGATTTCCAACATATTCATGGCTGCTAAACAGACAATTGCTAAATCCTGGAAATCCCCTAAACTTAGTTATGTAGAGGTTAAAAACGCATCACAGATGTGCTGATAAATGAACAACAGCTATCTTGGATTCGAGAAAATTTGGGAACATTGGATCACCTTTAATAGTTAGTTGAATTTTGACCCAGACCTTCTACAGATTTGATGGAATCCCCTACGGAATGGATTATGTGTATCCCCTGCGAAATAGATTGTTACCTATTATTGCTCTTTCCCACTTTTCCTGAATTCGCTCATCATATTGCCTAATGCTCTCATTGGGCTGTATCCCTGTTTTTGCTTACCAATGGGGCTTTGAATCACAGAGTCAAATTTAAGCGATGCCATCTGTAATGATTAGCAATGATTCCCTCTATTTGTTCCATGTAGCCAAGGGTCCTATTTGGTTGTTCATTCTTAAATATTATAATTTACTGTAATTCCCACAATATTTTCTGCTTTCTTTGTCTATACTTTTGACGCCATTTAAGTATTTAAGTATAGTTTATGTTTTATTGTAATGTCTATTTGAAAATAAAAAAACATTTGTGAAAAAAAATTAAAAGATGTGAAATTATTTAATGGGTATCATGCACCGGAATTTCTACATTCCATATATCCCTCCATTTCCTCACTGTTTTGGAGATGTGGCAAACATCTGGGTTCCCTGTTCCACATTTTCTGGACGTGCGAGGAGATACTGCCTTTCTGGAGGATGGTGGGATCCATACTTGAAAAGTTAACAAGCTCCACTCTACCTTTGTTACCCATTCACTGTTTGCTGGGTCTTCCATACTTTCACCTCCGTAAACATTGCCGAAAGCTAGTGAGTCATATTTTGATGGCTTCCCATTGTCTTATAGCAATGGAAACGTACGCTTCCACCGTCTAAATTTGAATTGATCTCTCGCATTAACGATGTACAGAGTATGGAGTACCTAACAGCTAGATTGAATAATACTGTTGCTCTTTACGACAAAGTGTGGGAAGCTTGGCTGTCTTTTAGCTCTGATTTGGACTGATTGTGGGAACTGTCCTGTTATGATGTTTTACTATTTTGTTTGAATGTCAACCCAAGCTGGACCCGGGGTAACTGGACCTCCCTTTCTTCTTGCTCTCCTTTCCTCTATTTCTCCCTTTTTCTCTCTTTCTTTGCTTATTATCTACATCCTCAGATACAATTTTTGCAATTAATCTCATAACTAACTAATGTTATTAATTGTGCCCTTATGGTAATATTACACTGATTTTTGCTTATCAGGTTTATATTATACAGAGATGTTTGAAATGATAGGTGCATCGTATTCTTTGTTTTCATTGCTCATTGACCTTTTTTGTATTAAATTTTTTTTAAAATAAAAAACATATTCGATGAAAAAGATGTGAAAGACAAGCACAATGCACTGTGATACAATATTTATCACATTATTCATAATACACAAATATATTTTTATGATTATTTTGAACATAAAAAATGCACCTTCAGTCTGTCTTAGGTAAAATTATTTTGTAAGCGCAATTACACTGCAGTCATTGTACAGTTCTCCGTTGGTATCCATGCCACCAAAGATTAGGCAAAGGGTTACTTGACCAAATTTCTCTGACTCATTATCGGTATTTGGAGCGCAAGGATCATTCTCTCTCTTCTCTGTAACATTATCTAGTTCGCTGTCCGGTTTTGAGAGTTCCATCCCTATTTTCCATGGAAGGAGACACATTGAATGATCTAGTCGTGCTGCAGGACTTGGAGAATCAAATCTGATCTGTGTCCAGGTATGGTTTCCTATACAGAAGTACAAAACCATAAAAAGATCAAGGTAAAAAAAATTGTTGCACAAAAAAAGGGAAAAAAAAAAAACAAACAAGAAAAAAGAAAAACAGGCTCCACCTAATATACAGTAGCTATTGTAGGCTAAAATAACAGCATATATATACAGAAGGTTAAGAAAGTGATTTATATTTTAAATTTTTTTTATTTATATTTATAATCTAGATGTGTTGTTTATATAGCTTGAACTGAAACCAACTTTTGGTTAGAAACCCCCCCCCAAAAAAACCTGAAAAATAAATCCTGCTGTGCACTTCAAGGGATAGAGAACCAGAAAAATGCAGCAACCACACTGAAGCAGATCAACCCCCTGCTAGTCTAAAAAAAAAAAAGTCCAAATAGTTTCAGTTAGCATTTACTGAAGAGCATTAGTGGTTTCTTTACAAATCATAGTAAGAAAAACTAAAAATTAGGGATGCACCGATATATTGGCCGCCGAAACATATCCTCCGAAAATGGCAAATGTTTCTGCCGATATAGCGCTGCATTCCGTTCTTTCTCTTTTCCCCACTGGGCACTGCTCTGTGTCCCAGCGGGGAGGAGAGAAACTGTAGTAGTAGTGTGTGTGTGTATATATATATATTTCCTGACATCAACATGGCAACATACGAATGGGTTTAGCTCTGCCCCATCACAGGACCAGTGATATTATATATTAAAGCACGCCTCCCAAGGCCACCATTATTTTTTCTGTCCTCAAAGCTCAGTCCGGTTATATTAAGAATACTTTTGATTTTTACCTCTGTTCAGGTGGCTAAATGCTATTTAATAAGGGAAGCCTCCCCCCATATGTTCAGAGTATGGGGTGCTGGAAATGGTCTCTTGGTGTCCTTTCATATTCATTTGCTTCCTCCATCATGGCGGCATGCTGAAGGCACCTGCTTGGCCTCCTGACTCTGAAGAAACCATGACTCAGCTGAATCATCAGAAACTATGGTTGTACTGAAATAATCGCATGCATGGGCAAGATGACAACTAGGATCCACTCCATTTTCTTTCAATTAGTTTAGGTAGTGAATGTGTTACTATTTCCTTTGGCTGTGCAGTCCTGCTTTTCTCTGGCTGAATCTTCTTTTGAATATCTTTTTAGTATGCCTGTAGATCTATTCAGTTTTCTATTTGTGCTTAAACCTTACAGGTGCATTGCAGGGAAGTATGTGATTCTGTGGTGCTGCTAATGCCTTATAGTTGAAGATTGCAGGGTTTTTCCAAAAAATCCATTAGTTTGCTTGTGGGGCTTTAACTCTGCAGGTGCTTGCTGAGTGCAGACTGCTGCCCCTTGTAGTTGTGCTACTACAGCTTTAGCTGGATCTTACAGAAATCTGTTGTTTGCTGACTCTGTCAGCTTCAAAGCTTCAATCTGGTGCCCTAACTCTTTTTGGTGCCTTTCAGGTGAGTATTGTTGCTGACACCTGTGGTTCCTCAGCGCTGTTAATATTTATTGCAGTTGTTGCTTCATTTGCAGGCTTATTCCGCCTGTTATACTGTAATCCTTTCATTGCACCATGTATATAGCATTGTGGTTAATGTCTAGCAGGTTCTGACAGGTCTTGTTGTGCTATAACCCTTTATTGCCCCCATAGGTGAGTATGTGGCTACCATGTATACAACATTGTAAGTGTCCAGCTGGTACTATTTAATCATACCATCCTCTTCAGCTTATCTGTGGCTGCAAAGGTTGGATCATGTGTTCAATTCCCAGATGGCATTAACCCCCTTGCCCCAAAAGACCGGCTATATTCTAGAAGGTGAGTGTCAGGTAGGTATTTAAAAAAAAAAAGTGCACATGCAATGGCTCTTAAAAATTTAAATATTTTCAGCCCTATTGCTAGTACTGCTCCCCAAAGGCCAAAGTAAGCTGCTCTGTTTGGGATGAAAGGTCCTCTTCAAGCTGTGATAAAGCTGCTACACATGCAAGATCCTGCTATTATGGTTAAGTGCTGGTTCACACCTGGGCGTTTTTCAGCGCTGATCGAAGTGCTGAAAAACGCTCAGCAAGGGAAATCCCATAATTTCCTATGGGCATGGTTCCCACCTGGGCGTATTTCAGCCCGTGGAAACGCGCTGAAAAACGCCCTACGCCCAAACAAGTACAGGAGCTTCTTTGGGGCGTTTTCCGCGCGTATCCATTGGTATTCCCGAGTGTGGCTCGGGGTTAACAAAGCGATAACCCCGAGCCACACTCGGGAATACAGCGTAGGAATTACCTTGTCCGCGATCCCCGCTGTGTCCTCCGGCTGCTACCGTCTTCCGTCCCTTGCGAGCGGCCGCGTCGCAGGGGGGGCGGAACCGGCGGGAAGTTTGAAAGTTAAAAAAAAACCAGAAAAAAAGATAGAAAATAAAAAGGAAATAAAAAAATCATACCGCCAGGGAGGTATAAAAACGAGCGTCGAATGTGCGTTTCACTGAACGAAAAAACTCTTTTACCAATGAATGCCTCAATACTGATTCTCAGCGGTTACCGGCAATTCACAGCTCCAAATAGCACTTAGTGGAAGGGTACCCCGTCACGAAGGGGTTAATATGTAATTTAAATACTCCCAATTCTCCTCAGAGAGCTTTGTTAGAAGTATTTGGTCCTATTTGGTATCACAGAGAAAAAAAAAGCATAGCTCATTTTCTGTAACGCACCACAAACATAATCACACTGTGACCACTGTTATCCAAGTTTTCCCTAGTGTCTATGTCTGCAACCAACTCTGTGTTGTTTGCAATTTTTAGATATAAGACAGCAAGTTTTCCTAACTTTGACTTCCACCATTTGATCCATGAAATTGTCCCACAAGTCTCATGTAGCTCCAACCCCAAAGACTGCACTGCCACAACTCTCATTAGTGATGGCAGCGTGAATGAGGCTTTAGAGTCGTACCTAACTCCTTCAAGTCATTCTTTAGGACACTCCAGCTTGCTCTAATTTTGTCATTAGTATCAACGTGTACTGTGGCAGCTGGGTCTTCCCCAGCCCATCCAAACAACATATCGACCTGATCCACAATGTGTCGAAGCCACATTGGCAGTAAACAGCATAATTTTCTACAATCACAGATTACCCTGTCTGCCTTTCTGATAATAGAGTCCCCCTATATAAGGAGAAAAGATGATGTTCAGGAACAGTACAAGCATGGAACTATAAATAAATCTGGAGTTTATTAACCTTTTCGCTGCCAAGCCCTCCAGAACGCTTTCCATCTCAGCTGGCCACACCATTTTTGCAATTTCTCCTATTGTTTTGATTTTCTACTGCTGCGTTGCTAGTGTTTGTAAAAGACCCCCCAAAGCATATATTTTCTGAAAGCACAGGCCCAGGAAAATGAAAAGATGGTGCTCCTAAATTTGTAGGCCCTGCGATAGTTATGCAAATATTTATCAAATCAATATTAAGCCGATAAAACTACACAATTCATTTGAAGCACAATAAAATCAGTATCAGTGCACAAAAAAAAAACTTTTCTGACTAAACCTAAAAGATAAAACTGTATTTAGTTAATAAATAACAAATATATGTAAATTTTAAATTCCGCCTTTTTGCGAAACGGTAAAAAAAAAAAGAAGGAACCCAAAACTGTAAATAAGCAACTTAAGTTGGTGTTTGTTTTGTGATAAAATCATACAGGTGTACATTTAATTGCAACACAGCATATCACTACGCACGGCAATGCGTCACAACGCTTTGCCATGCGCTGCCACAGTTCAATGAATGTTATTTTGAAAAGAAAAAAAAATCAAGTACTGTCATGCGTTATAACGCACCACAGCGCATGTGCATGGCCTACATCACAATATGGTGCACGTTATGTGTGGTGGGGGGAGGGGGGTTTGTGGGGTTTTTTTTAATTCATTTTTTATTGATTTTTTTATTACTTTTTTAAAAATGTTCTATGTGTCCCCAGTTGTTTACAAACATTGGAGTGATCAGGTAAATATTCCACATATTTATCGATCCTTCTGCTCAGCCAAGCACAGATGACTGGCAGTCCAAGATTCAACAGCCTGTGGCTCTGATCTTCGTCCATTTTTTTTCCGGATCTCCACTGCCTCAGTCCATACAAGCGGGGGAAAGCAGCGGGGATCAAAGGAGAAACAGAACCCTGCCTGAAGCGGCTCCAGGCCGGGAGGAGAGTCTGTGGTGCCGGTGGGGGCTGAAATTTTTGTTAATAGCTCTCATCAGCAGCTTGTCAGCACCACTGATCACAGCTATTAATTCAAAGGGGACCATCAGGGAAACCGTTCTGCTATAAGTTCGTGGTAAGCTTATAGCAGGACGGTAAAAGCCACCGACGTATGGCATACTGACGTGGCCAGCTGAGAAAAGTTTTGTTCCGCTGTATGTCATACGTTGGTGGCAGGGAAAGGGTTAAAGATAGTCCCAAACCTAAATATTATGGGAAACTATCTCATCTCCATGGGGGTGACATGTATCTACAATCAGCTAAGTGAGTCGTTCCTTAAAGTGTATTCTCACTTTTGCAGTCAAATTTGAGAAAACTCCTCTATACGTTTGTTATGCATTTCCATTCACACAGCATATTGAAAAATAATTTTTTTTAAAAATGTTTCCTACGTTTTGTTGTAGCATGCAAAATTGCTGAACTCGGATTTTTCTGATCATCTTTAAGGTGGCCATACACTGTACAACCATCGCAAGACCTTAGTCTTGCGATGGTTGTAAAGTGATTCAAAAAAGTACGATCTGCCCATCTTGGACAGGCAGATCGTACTCTCGATCATCGCAAGCCCGCCCCCCTGAGGGGCGGGCTTCCGATGACCGCAATGCTGAATGGGCAGTGTGTGCATGCACACACCGGCCCGTTTGGCATTTGTCTCCCGAGCACCGTTCAAACCAGCCGAAAATCGTATGATTCTTGGCTGGTTTTCTAACATGCTCCTTAGACAAAAGACGTGCGACCGTACAGTAGAAACGGTCGCACGTCTTCGTTCACACTGCTCGATTCTCG